ATCATTTCGTTCTAAAACACAGGAAGAATATCATAAAGGTAGTAGCCCTCTTGAATTATTACCTATAAATATAATTAACGATGTGTGTCTTGATTATATGCATAATGTTTGCCTGGGTGTAACAAAACGTTTGTTAGAATTTTGGGTTAAAGGTAAGAAGGACGTTAGATTAGCTGAGGAAAATAAAGTTAAAATATCTAATAATTTGATGAATCTACGATTGTACGTCCCATCTGAATTTAGTCGTCGGCCTAGAGAATTAGATAGTATAGAATACTATAAAGCTACTGAATTAAGAATGTTTGTTCTACACTCAGGATTAATAGTTTTAAAAGGAAATTTAAATAAATTAAAGTATTCTCATTTTAAACTCTTGGTATGTGCAGTAAGAATTTTGATATCTCCTGATATATGTCAAACTTCAAATAATTTAGCTCAAAACTTACTGAATGAATTTGTTTCTCAGTACTCTTCTTTGTATGGGGCTCATTCTGTGACTTATAATGTTCATAGCTTATTACATCTTCCTATGTATGTTAAAATTCATGGCTGTCTTGATAATTTTAGTTGCTTTAAATTTGAAAATTATTTACAATACATAAAAAAATCAATAAAAAGTGCCAAATATCCTCTTTCAGAAGTAACTAATAGAGTTATTGAAAAACAAAAACATTTAATATCCAGTAGTATAATTCTTGATCCTATTGTCACTTTTAAAGAGATTATTAACACATCTACTCCTTACTTTAGTTTAGATGATAAATTATATGAAAAAATAATTTTAAAAGATCTAAAAGTAATTATTAATACATGCAATGAACGTGATAAATATATAATATTAAAAAATAGTGACATTGTTATGGTTAACCACATTGTTAAACCAAAAAATGAATCATCTTTTATATTAATTGTTCAAAAATTTTTAAATCCATCTCCAATTTTTACTGAGCCTATTGTATCTACCATATTTGGCTTATATACTATAAATACTAATAATTTGTCAATTCATATTTCTGATATAAAATACAAATGTTTTTTTATTCGTATATCTAATGAACAAGCAGTTATATCAACTTTAAATCATTCACTTTCAGAAATACCTTATTAAATTAACTTATTAACACAAGCTTAGGTATAAATTATTAATTATTCAAAATGCATTCATTTTTGTATATATTTTTTTTAAAGTTCATTATATATTTATTATTACTAATTAAGTAGGTATATAATTTTTATATTTTATAAGTATGTGTACTATTTATTAGATTTAATAGTCTACTATAATGTTTCATATAATTTCAATATATTGTGATACTATTTTAATAATTTGTATAATATTGACATACATACATGGTTTAATATAGTTATATTTATTTTCGACGTTTATTGCTGGTATATTTTATTTTGTTTTTAATTTACATTATTTTTATAGTTCTTTAACTTGTTCAATTATATAATATGTTTCAAGTGATGTTGTTTTTGTGTGGTGGTTATATATTTAGTCTTAGTTATTATTTATATATTAATAACACCTATTGTTTCAATAAACATAATTAATACAAATTAAGGGTGTATTTAATGTACTAAAAAAGATAAAAAAGTTCTAACTACTAAAGCCTGGATAAAATATCTCATTAATGTTATATTTTTGTTTTTTAATATACATCACAGTTATAACATTTTATTAAAAGATTTAAGAATTGTTTACTGTATGTACATCTAGCATATTACGACGACATAATCTTTAAATGTTTCGGTAATATCCCAATCAAACATACACACAATGTTTCTAGGGTATGTGTATACAATGTTTGAAGGAAACATACTAGTAATGCTTATAAATAACAAACCTTAAATATATTATAAGTGTTGAAAAAAAACGGTTATTAACAAGCTCAGGGACATCGCCTTTATATCATAGTAATAATGTATGGGATGTTACACGTTCCCATGAAACGTTTTAAGAACATCAATGGTATGTAACATTGTACAGTGGGAAGTATAATTAATACTTTCTTAGCTTCGTATAATACGAATAATGATGGACCAGTAGAACGTTTCATTACTTTTATTCATGTTACAAGTCATACTGGTGCAAATCTTGCTTTGTGTTTACTTCACTTTTTGAAAGAAAATGATATTAACATAGAAAATTGTCGTGGGCAGAGTTATGACAACGCTAGCAACATGAGTGGGACTTATACTGGTATGCAAGCAGAAATAAAAAAGTGCAATTCATTTATTGATTATATTCCGTGTATTGCACATTCGCTGAATCTCGTTCGACAATCTGCTGTAGATTGTTGTATTGAAGCAGTTTCATTTTTTGGTTTTGTCCAAGAAGTTTACAATTTTTTTTCCGCCTCTACCCAACGCTGGGATATTTTAAAAAAAACTTTAGTAAACAATTTTCCACTTCCTAAATCTAAATCAGTTACTAGATGGAGTGCAAATACTGAGGCTGTTAAAGCGTTATTTATAAGTTACGAGAATATTAATGAAGCGTTCAAAAAAATTCAAAATGATACATTTCAAAAATAATCAACTCGACACCAAGCATCTTGTTTAAGCTCAGTATTCGGTTATTTAGAAACTGCCATTATGTGTGAATTATGACATAATATTCTCGAACTATTTAATAAGTGTAGTAAAAGTATTCAAAGTGGTGTAATTGATTTATACACTGCAATTAATTTAATTGAAAGTCTTAAAATTGTCCTTCAAAATATAAGAAACCAATATGATGAATATGAAAGTAATGGCATGAAAAGGGCTAAAAATGAAGACTATAAATTATCTACGCATAGAACAAAATTTAAAAGAAACGAGAGTAGTTTTAATGAACTAAATTCAAAAGAATCATTTAAAATAAATACTTTTTATTTAATAATTGATCAGCTTTATAGTGCTTTAGTACATAGAATTAACACTTATACTAACGTAAAGGATAATTTTAAGTTATTATCAGACATTTCAATGGACATGAAAATTGAAGACATAGAAGAAGAAATGGAAAAGTTATTAAAAAGGTATCCAAAAGATTTCCCTGATGATTTTAAAAATTAGTTTCAACAGTTTCTAAGTTTTTCGTCAACGTCTTTATCATTAATTACAACGAACGAAAATAAGAAGAAGAATGTTACTTATATTTATAAGGTAATTAATTAGGCCCATCTGAATCATTTGCTTACGGCCCCCAAGTACTTAATCCGGCTCTGTTCGTATTGAAGCTAAAATACGATTTTTGTAAAAAATTATTTTTTATATTTTTAACTTTATAATACTATAACTTTTTGAAAAATACATGGATCAATATAATTTTTTTATGGTAAATACTATTTATAAACCTCTTTCATTTGACATTTTTTTTAATCAATATAGGGGTTCAAAACTTAAAAATACGTATAGACAGTAGAACTTTTTTTTTTATAAATTCGTTCATAGAATTAGTTCCTTCCAACCATTGTAAATTATTAAATATTAACTTTTAAAAGTTGTAATTGACATAATTTCTATTCTAAATTTTTTTTTCTAAATACTGGTTAAGCAATATTTTCTACTCGAACGATGATAAAAAAACGTTCAACAATTTTTTTTTTAATTTGGTATTGATTGACCAGATATGTAGCAAATTAATAGTTAACGGTAATTAAATATAAAATAGAAACACAATAAAATATCAAAACATATTTTTTTAAGATTTCAGAATACCATAAAAATTAAAAAAGTATTAAATATGTTACAGTACTGTTTATATCAAACTTCATAATATAGTGTCGTATGTTGGTAGTGCCCCAACGTAGACACAAAAGTTTAACACAAATTAATTAATGTTTATATATATATATATTGACGACGAGTTCGTCGTTCGAGCTCTTCTCGAGTCCTCCCGTTGGATAAACTGATCAGCCCCAATTCCTCTAATTAGTGGACTACTAAAGGGGTAGAGTTTAGACCCGTCAGCACAGTATAGCTCAAAAGTAGCAGACTGAAGGGTGGCTCCTTGTCAGCCACCAGCACAACTACTTTTTACTATACCCACTAAAGGACGGTTAAGTCCAAAAACTAGCCAGCTCGTACACTAATTATTAAGATTGACTAAAGGACCAGTAGTCCAACCTTGACTCTAGCCGCACGCACACACACAATTCTAAGAACACGGTGAATATAAAATATTTGCTCTAAGTCCAGGTTTTAAAATAGCTATTTTATTTAAGAAACGTATCAAACACAAAGTCAAAAAGTAATATCAAAAATGTAACACAAAACAAAATTAAATCGTACAAAACTCGACGTTTCCTCGACAAAAACGTCCAGTCTCCTCTCGCCCAGTATCGTCCCCCTATATTTTTCATGTTTCCCTTTTATATTCTTTTTCCCACCATTATTAATTTGCTTACCCTACATTTCCCTTTTATATGGAATTATTATATTGCTTAAGAGTTCAAAAATTGCTTACTACTATTGTAAAGCTTATATTATACTAAAATCGACGTAATTCAATACTTCCTCATCTAATTACTACAATAGGTTAATATATCGTTTGATTAACCCAAGCTCTGTTTAAGTGAAAGAACAAACTCTTCGAGGTCCATCTCACATTTTACTAGCCTAGTTATTACTAGTGATAGAGTTTTTCTGTATTATAGCGATATTTTCCATCTTTAGGTAATCGTGTCCCCGAATCCCTACTTCCAGCCCCAGGTTAACCTATTTTCTATTATAATAATAATAATTTTCGTTTGCTCTAAGAAAATATAATATATAACATTTAAATTTTTATGTTAGCACTAAACTGGCTAAATTAATTAAAAGTTGTACAATAAAATTGATTTCTTGAGAATAATATTTTTTAAAAATTCATAACAAAAAATATATTCTATATACATAAACATGTATTCTGACCAGTAATGATATTTCGTTGATAATTACTATAAAAGAAATTTTGCTGTTTATGTTTTGGTAGCACTGCAAAAATTTTCATTAACAGTGATACATTTGTAAAAGCGATAAGTCTTCTGACTAAATATATAATTTTGTAGAGAAAAATTTTGATCACTATTTCATAAAACTTAATCTTCTATTAAATAATTGTTAATTATTTTGAGTAGAGTACAAAAATGGCCAAAAAAGAAAATGTCACTGAATTATTACCGCCATTTCCAGAAGAAAACATAGGTACGTAAATAATGATTCATATAAAAAGTTCTAAAAAGGGCGTGTACCGAATCTTAGTAATTCTTTTTAACTTAAAATCATTATAATATATAGTTTAATAATGTTTAATTTAATAGATATGTTTGCTGCTACTAGTGTTTTACAACAACAAGCTGCAGAAATAAGAAATCTAAAATTGAATTGGTTGTCTTATTTAAAGTAAACATTTTCAAAACTAGCTTACATTGTAATAAAAATTCTTATATTCATTTTCATAGGTCCCAGATGATTTCGCAAGAAGTTTATGACTTCATAAGTGCATATGATGCTGAGAGAAATGAAAGAGGACAAATATTAATTAATAATCGAGATAAGGCAGCTGAAGCATTCTTTCGTTTGTTAGAAAATGTTTCAAAAGAGTCAACTATACAATATGTACTTGTATTAATTGATGATTTGCTGACAGTAAGTATAAATTAAATTATATATTTTTAGTTATATTATGGTTGGGTTTTGTTTTAGTATACATACATTTCTTTATATTTATTAGAATCGTCAAAAAATAAAGATAAAGTTAATTTTTTTATGACACTAAATTTTAATTGTATAAAATTATAAAAATTTGTATTTTAGATTTTGTTAATTACAAAATAATTACAATAAATTATTTGTATTGTATACTCTATACTAATATATACTTAATCTTATGGGTTTATAATTTATTGAAATAAGGTTCTTATGTAAAAATTTTCCTAAAATATCATATTGTATTTAAAAACTCCAAGTTTGTTCAATTTTATATATTAGATTATTTAAAACAGGGTACTTATGGTATAAATAGGTATATAGTGAAACTAAAGTAAATATACAGGGTGTTCAGTAAGTCAGGAAACGGGTTTCTATTGTTCTCATTGTTACAAACAATGAGAACAATAGAAACCCGTTTCCTGACTTACTGAACACCCTGTATAGTGGGTATGTAGACGGACTAAACATTTTACCTGAAATATTATGAGAAATCATGAATTTTTACATAGTTTTATTATGTAATCAACATTTTAATTTCAGTTATTCCATAATTAAAAAAAAAAAATCACTTATACCCCTTTCATTCAAAACACATTATTTTTAGCATAATAAAAAGTAACTTATTAAAAATTATTAACAATTTATACAAATTTGAAGTTTGACTTTTAAAATTTAAATTTAAAAATATTTAGATTTAATTTAATACTTTTTTTTTTCTATAATCTAACATCATAAATATTAGGGTTTTTAGTGACATTGATTTTTAAATATAAAATGTTGACAAACCTTATTAATTGTATACATTAATCAAAACATATTCATTTGTTTTCATTACCTCACAATTTTAAGTATAATATCTTAACAGTATTTTCCAAAATACATGATCCTCAAAAATAAATTAGGTTTATCAAAAGCATAATTTTATTTCTACATACATACTTTATAACACAATTTTCTCTTAGGAAGATTGTTCTCGTGTAGAATTATTTAATGATTATGCTGTAAAGAAAAATGAACCTGTTTGTGGAAATTTTTTGAACCTTTTGAATGCTTCAGATGGTTTTATAAATAATATGTCTGCTCGTATTATTGCTAAATTTGCATGTTATTCAATTGATTTCATCAATGAAACTGATCTGCAATTTTATTTAAATTGGATTAAAGGACAGTTATTAGCAACAGTATGTAAAAAAAGTTTATTCTATGAAATTACTTATGTGTAGGAATACTAATTATTATTTATTGTTTTAGAATAATGATTATATGCAGTCTGTTGCTCGTTGTTTACAAATGTTATTACGCCGTGATGAGTATAGAACTGCATTTATTTCAGTTGATGGTATTTCTATACTTCTAAGAATATTATCAGGACGTGTAAACTTTCAAATACAATATCAATTGATATTTTGTGTTTGGGTGATGACATTTAATCCACGTTTGGCTGAACGCATGAACAAGTATTAATGATTTAACGATTCTTTTATTTTATCTTGTTGAAATTTGATCATTATTTTATTTCTTTAATAAAAAAAAACTATATTAATATAAATTATATATTAGTGTAAAATAATTCCATTATTTTTTCAATTGAATGTCTGCAATAGAAATTATATTAAATAATGAAATATCATTCATAGTTTTCTGAAGTGATGATACAATTTTAATTTATAGGTTTAATATCATTCCAATTTTAGCTGATATTTTGAGTGATTCAGTCAAAGAAAAAGTGACTAGAATTATTCTAGCAGTTTTCAGAGTAATTAATACAATGAATTCTTCAATTTATAGAAGTTTTAAATATTATTTTTTAATTATTTGTTTAGAACTTAATTGAAAAACCAGAAGATGGTACTATTTCAAAAGAACATTGTATTGCTATGGTCCAAAGCAAAGTACTAAAACAACTTAGTATTCTAGAACAAAGAAAATTTGATGATGAAGATATAGTTGAAGATATTCAATTTTTGAATGAAAGACTTCAGGCATCTGTTCAAGATTTAAGGTAAATATTATTAATAATGTAATGTAAAAAAAAAAAAAAGATATTTTGATTTGAGCAATTGATTTACATTTAAAATAATAAAACAAATTATTTTAAATTAAATTATTTGGTTTTAAATCAGGAAGGTTATTTTTAAATATTATTTTTTTTGGATATCTAGAAAATATAATAAGTGAAACACAAACCTATTTCATAAAATAACCATAAAAATGAAGTTTCATATTGTGTCATTTTGTAAATGGGCTTATTTGAAATGTAATTAATTTTTTGAATTTATTAATATATAATATGTCCAATAAACTTAGAAGAATGGTTATTTTAAAGTAGGTAAAAAAATTAAGACAAATGAATTGCACCAGTATGACTTGTAACATGAATAAAAGTAATGAAACGTTCTACTGGTCCATCATTATTCGTATTATACGAAGCTAAGAAAGTATTAATTATACTATGATGTGATTTTTTTTTATGTCTGTTACCACTTTTTCTCAGCTCTCACTGAACCGATTTCTTTCAACGATACGTCAAAAGATCACAAATCGTATCTAGTCAAAGATATTACCCTCAAAAATTGAAAAAAATTCCCTCGTTTCCCGTAAATGGGGGAAACCTCCAAAAAAATTACAAATTTAAAAATGGCTAATTTTCGAAATTTTTTCAATTTTTTTTACTAAAAACTGCCGTAACTTTTTTAAAAATAAACATATCAATATAATTCTTTTTTTTTATAGATGCATGATATCATTACCTATCATTTGGTATATTTTTTTTATAAATCTGACTTTTTACCTGCCCACAGGGGGGGATTTAAAATAACAACTTTTTCACAAAAAATTAATTTTTTCAACTTAACTTTTGAAAGTGTTAAAAATTTCGGACTTTATTTTTCATCACGATGAAAATAGTTACCGTGTGCTATTTTTGTGTTAAATCCTCGATTTTAAATGTTATTTTACATTTTTAACTTTAAAATGCTATAACTTCTTGAAAAATGTATGGATCAATACAATTTTTTTATGAGAAATAATATATATATACCTTTTTCATTCGACATATTTTTTTTTTAAATAACGCTATTTCCCTTTATATATTTATATATTATAAATATCTTCTTCTTCCTCGCCATAATCCCAATTACTTGGGGTTGGCCACCCTTATCCTAAACATCCACTTGACACAATCACCCACATCATCTATGTTCACATCAGCTGTCCTCATATCACATTCAATAGTATCCATTAATCTCTTTTTTGGTATTCCTCTACCTCTTCTTCTTCAACATTCATTTCTATAACTGTTCTTACAGCTTCCGATTCTTCTCTCCTCATAACTTGACCAAACCATCTTAGTCTATTTTCTCTCATCTTATCCATGATTAACGCTACACCTATACTCCCTCTTATATGCTAGTTCCTTATTCTATCTTCTCTAGTCACTCCACTCATCCAACTAAGCATTCTCATCTCTGCTACTCTCATTCTATGCTCTACTTTTTTATCAACCGCCCAACACTATTTCACCTACCTCGTGTTCTCCTTTGTCAAACTTGTACTCTATATACCCTGTCTTACTTATACCTATTCTTAAACCCTTTTCTTCAAGAGCTGATCTCCACACTTCTAGCTTTTGATTTATTTTCTCCTATTAACACTATATCATCAGCAAACAACATGCACTACGGCACCTCTCCATGTATTTCTCTAGTAATTTCATCCATCACTATAGAGAATAAATAAGGGCTTAAAGCAGAACCTTGGCGCACTCCTACTCTTATCCGAAAACCTTCTGATACTCCTCCTATGCTTTTTACCCTGGTACAAGTGCCATCATACATATCTTCTATTATATTAATGTACCTTTTCGTGACTCCTTTTCTCATTAATGTCCACTTTAAAACCTCTCTCGGTACTCCATCATACGCTTTCTCCAAATCTATAAATACCATACACAGTTTTTGTTCTTTTCCCTAAACTTTTCTCTTAGTTGCCTCACACAAAACACAGGCTCCATTGTTGACTTACCAGACATAAATCCAAACTGGTTTTTAGATACTGATGTCTCATTCCTTATTCTCTTATCTATTACCTTTTCCCAAATTTTCATTCTATGACTCATAAGCTTTATGCCTCTATAATTTCCACACTACTGTATGTCACCTTTACCTTTAAATATCGGCACCACAATACTATTCCTCCATACATTTGGAATTTTCCCTTTTAATAAGATTTAATTTAAAATTTCCTTCAACCACCTTATGTCAACACTGCCTAATATTTTCCATACTTCTACTGGCACTTCATCTGGTCCTACTGCTATTATAAATATATATAGATATTTATTTATTTATTCATATGTTACACTTATAAATCATAAAACTTGTAATCAGAATATAAATAAGGAAGTAGGAGATCATGTAGCTTTTGGAATAATCTATCAATTTTTTAAAATTAAACACTACAGATTTGCATCAAAGAGTTTTTTATGATAGTGATTTTAATCACTGTCAGATATCATTATACTTGACCCAACTATATTACATCTCTACTGTGGCGCGACCCCACTGTGCTGGGTTTTTTATAGTTGAAAATATATCAAATAATAAATAATGTTAAATCTGGCAGATTTTGATTTTTTTTTTGACAATTTCTATTTACTATATTTTTAAATGATACCAGATCATTTAAAAATGTTGATGGGCAATATAATAGTAAATTGTCTTTCCACTAATATACTAATCTGAGCACGAGAAAGGTTCAAACATATTTAAAAATTGTATAAAAAAAAATGTATTCTGTCTAAAAAATTGGAAATTAATCTTACAACCTACTAACTTGCAACAAGCAATAATTTATGATTAAAAGAATTGTTTTCTATGTGAAATTTTAATTTTTTTTAATTATTATAATGAATTAAAAAAACATGCATCTTAAAATCTGGAGATATTTTTAAATGAACATTTTCGTTTCAATGCATTATACGATATTGATGTTAATCATTATCAGATATTAGCTTATACTTGTCTCAGCAAAGCTGTATTGCTATTATGCCATGTTCTAAGTGCTGGGATTTTTTATTTATATATTTTTTATTTAAAAAACAGTTCTTTTGATGAATATGCTACTGAAGTGAAATCTGGCCGTTTGGAATGGAGTCCTGTTCATAGATCAGCCCAATTTTGGCGTGAAAATGCTTCACGTTTAAATGAACGAAATTATGAACTTCTACGTATTTTGGTTCATTTATTGGAAACTAGTCGAGATCCATTAGTTTTAAGTGTTGCTAGCTTTGATGTTGGAGAATATGTTCGACACTATCCTCGAGGCAAACAGTAAGTATTCTATTTTAAAAGGAAGTGATTAAACATATTGTGATCAATTGATTAATTTAAAAAAAAAACTGCATAATGAAGTTTTTCAATGGGAAAAAAACAACTTAAATATATAAAGTATCTATATAATTATTATTAAAAATAAATTGTTGTATGAAAATTATTCCCATCCTCTCTCATAAAAAAATTGTTAGTTAAGAGAATTTAATAAAAAAAAATTATTTGATTGAACGGTTTAAATTAAATAATTATGTCAGAAAAAAATGAAATAAAAATTTTAATTATTTTTTTTTAATCTATGTTATTAGTAATGTCTAGTAATAAAAGTTTTCAATAGTTTTATCTGAATTAAAAATTAATTAAACGTTTAAATATTATAAATACTTAATTATCACTGTTGTTTTAGCATTATTGAACAACTTGGTGGTAAACAACTTGTAATGCAATTGTTGTCTCATGATGATGCAAATGTACGTTATGAGGCACTATTAGCTGTACAAAAACTTATGGTTCATAATTGGTAAGTAAATCACTTCTCCCAATATTTTTAAAATTGAAATATAAATTAATAAAAAAAAAAATTGATTTTTTTAATAAAAATATTTAAAATAAATATAGATGAAGAGTAAAGTTACATTGTTGCCTATTTCTATGATTAAATAATTACTTACCAATAATTTAAATTTTAACTTAATTTTTATTTAAATATAATGAAAAAATATCAGCTTACATTTAGCTGTTAAATTTAAATATTAATAAGAATATAAATGCATTATATTTCTTCCCAAAAAATAACAATAATAACTACTCCGATCATTTATTTATACTTCAGTTCATTCTATTATTTATTTTTTTAAGAAATGTTGTACAATATTATTATAACACCAAATTTTTATTTAAATTTATAGGGAATACCTTGGACGTCAACTGGAAAAAGAACAAAATACCACAAATGACCGAAACAAACCAACCACAGCTCTTACTGGAAAAGCTTGAAGATTTATTAAAAATATAAACAATAAACTGAACTTGTATATTTATTAAATTGTTTATTTTAATTTTCAATTGGGATTTAGAAAAAAATATATAACTCTATTATAGTAAATCTTCATCTATTATCATTGTTGCGGAGGCAATTTGTAATTATTGAATTTTTTTGTTTATAGAAATGGTTGTACCATTAAATTATTATTTTAGTTTAGTTTTAATTCAAAATTTTATAGATATGAGTTATTCAAAAAATATTAATTGTATCATTCCATTGTATTCAATCATGTTTTAGTATATATACGCTTAGTCACTTTTTAAAATTCTAATTAAATATTTTAATATTATTTTTAAATTGATCTGATTTTTAGTTGTTAGAGAAGTGGGCAACAATTGCCCATGCACTCAAACCTGTAGGTCCATTTTGTGCACCTAAGTGTTTCACCAAAGTATTGTTTTATGGTGATAGGTATTCAAACAATTACACCTAACACAATAAATATATATAAAGTGTTTTTGTATAATATATATATAATGTCATACTAAGCCACTCTTATGTATGTTCTAAGAGTCCCGTTTCTCTGGCGAAATTAAATATCTTTTCAGAAAAATATTTTCCCAAGTTCTTAATGTGAGATAAATCTTCCTCTTCTGTTCCACATTTTCTGCACAGTGGTGATTCTGTCATCAATATTTATTATTATTATTTTTTGTCTGTAACCACTTATTCTCAGTTCTTACTGGACAGATTATTATAAACAATATGTCAAAAATTACAAATTGTGTACCTAATTGAAGACATTATTGAAAAAATTTCCATCTTTCCTCATAAATTATGAAATTTCTATAAAATTACAATTTAAAAAATCAGTAATTTTTAATTTAAAACTACCTTAACTTTTTGAAAAATAGACGAATCAAAACAATTTTTTTATGAATATCTTAAGTATTTCCTTTTCTTTAGGTATATTTCTTTGAAAATCTGACCCATGACCCGTGTTCAGGGGAATTTAAAATTGCATGATAAGTTAACCTTTTCAACTTATGAAAATATTCCGTAAATACTCCAAGCTTTCCCACATATGTTAAATTTAAGATTATATTACATATTGCAAGCTCTATATGCAAATGGTCGCCCTAATTCAAAATCATTGTATATTTGTTTTAAAGTTTTCGATTTTATATTTTCAACTTAAATTGCTATAACTTTTTGAAAAATGTACGGATTATTAAATAGACTTTTATAATAATAAAAAAAAATTAAAATCTAAAACTCGTTGAATATTTTTAAGCCTTATTAAAAATATAAATATTTTATCGATAAAGATCCCTTAAACTACGCCAATGATTATACTTATAAATCATAAAAGTAATTATCAAGGTAAATTAAGGAAATAGGAATTGATTTAAATTTAGTAAAATAAAGGAAGTCAAGTAATAAAATTCTCTCTTAATAATATCAATAATTTTCCAAGTTTTAGGGAAATTTACCTGTAGTTGTCAACTTTGACAGAATAATTCATATGAGAGTAAACTATTATTTAAAATATCACGTACAGATAAAGTTGGTAAAAATGTAAAGTCAATTGCCTATTGAATACGTGTGAATTTACACATCTTCAAACTGGCTGTTGGAGCTAATAAATAGACAGATTGATTCCGTATATATAATCAATAGATCGGGCATTATATGTAGATTATTCTTTTATAATTTTTAAAAATTGAGTTGAATAATGGCGAATATATAAGTAAAATGTTCAATATTTTTTAGACAAAAATATATTGTATTCGATATTTTTAGTTATTTTGTTTCTCGTATATTGATGGCAGCACTGAAGACCGTATTACCCATTCTATGACTGTCACCAGTATTGTGTTCTTTCCGACGTTATCAAATATAGATTAGGTATTTGTTCGGTTATGCACAAGCTATTATCTTGTGCGAACCATGTTCTCTTTTTCGTAAAATAGTATTAAATTTAATTAAATTTTACGATCCCTTCATTGCAGAGTGTAACACAATAGCCTCGATTGAGAAATTTCTGTGTATAAATTGACTTATCTGCAAATTAAGTGCTTGTGTGTACATTTTGTATGTACTAGAACATAAGATATTGTGTTCTTTTTGACGACATTTAGAGTAGACTTAATATTTGTACGGCGTCGCTGTTACCACATGTTAATTATGTTCTCTTTTGTGTATAAAATAGTACTTATTTAAATTAAATTTTTCTATTATTCTATTGCAGAGTGTGAAACTGTGACGGCATCGATTTTCGATTGATGGTTGAGTGTACTGTGTATTAACTTCATACATTCTATACCATACATTACTATACAATAAAATAGCTTCTAAAGAGTATGAAATAAAACTGAAAAAATACAATATGTATAGCTTAAAAAAAAAAACTTATTTTAAAAAAGCATAAATATTGGCTAATGAACTTATGGTTAAATGAAATATGCTATTTAATAAATATAGATAGAATTTTAAAATGAATTCTGAAACAAAAACAGTCATTTATTCATAGAAAGTCATTTAAAATACTAAAAAAAGTAAAAAATAAGAATGTCGGCAATACAGCTAAGTATTCCTAATAGTAATATTAGTTTATACTATGGTTTTTAATTTATCTTGGGACAATCCTATCATTTCAAATAAATAGACCATGCACTCACAGTTTATAAAGCATTGAGTTTTATGAGTAAAATTAAACTTAAAGTAAATGAATTTATTTCAGTTATTAAGTATACAAAAAAAGTTTTATATTACGCAAAAAATGTATTTATTAACTAATCACGACCACAGTTCTAAGTTATGCATTAAATTGATAACATTATATGTAAAACCATTTTATTTTGTGGCACTTTTGAAATCAAGTTTCTTATGTAGTTAAAGATTTAGATTTAGTTATTAGTAAGGTGGACATAATGCCTATGCACTCGTATCAAAGTGCTTATTTGGAGTCTGGTCATGCTATTAAGATCACCCAGCAGTAGACTGGGAGTCTTAATAAACATTTTAGATAGTTTAAGTATTACCAAGTACTTCCTGAGTTTCCTGTGTTATCTGCACCAATTCTTGGGTAGCGCTTTGAGCGATTGCTTAGTGAGTCTTACTACTGGTTCTGGTCCAACATAAGGTGTTCTTTGCTCCTTTTGTCGCTAGAAAGTCAGCATTTTCATTTCCAGTGACACCGTTGTGTCCTGGTACTAACGCTAATGTAAGTTTGTTGTACCTCTATAGAGATTCTACAGTTTATCTGCATTCGAGGATAACCTATACTGCCATAACATCCCAATACCAACAAATTCGCAACTAGCTATGTTTGATGACGACACTATAGTCATCACTGAAGATAAATCTTGTAGTAAATAATTAGGAAGGTATGAAATAACTTCGATATTAGTTTAGTATAAGTTTTTAACACTAGTAAGCAATTTTTAATTCTTAAATGAAATAATAATGTCATATAAAGGGAAAATGCAGGGTAAGCAAGTTAACAATGGGGAATAAGAATGTATAAAAAGTAATATGTATTAACTAAAAAACGTCTAGTTAGGGCTTAATCTATATTGTGTTACATTGTTATATTATATTTTGATTTTGTATATCTTATGTTTTGTAATTAAAAGTTAACTGTTAGAAACCTGCACAATTAGTAATAATAACAAAACTTAATGATAGGAAAAGTCTGATTTCAGATATGAAAACAGTGCAAAAAATTAATTTAGAAAAGTATATTTTTGATTACAATGAAAGTTCCTTGTAGACTAATTAATTCATAAGTAAAAAAATTATTTTTTTTAAAGTATTACATCAAACCTTTGAATTTTTATACATGTCTGCCATAGAAGTAACAAAATAATACAATATTAAATTATTAAGTATTATTTTCATACTACATTTAATTGCTATATATAATTATAGTGATTTTACAGTTTACCTGCATTCGAAGATAAGCTTTCAATTCACTCATTGATCATATGGAATGCTTTCAGTGCCAGTTGACTTTCACTTAAGATAGTTATCTTTCTTTTATTGTATACCATCAGTTTCTGAGCCCCTACTAGTATTGTCATCACCTCTGCTTGGAAAACAGAGGCTGTTGTGCCCATTGACATACTAACATTTATTCAAAGTTTTAGACCTCAAATGCCAGTACCTACCTTTCCTGATTTTTTGGATCTATCTGTATATATTACAAATCCCTTTCTCAATCGGGTGGTTAATATTCCATTCTCTATGTGTATTGATTTCCAATTTGTAGGGATTTTTATTCTTAAAAACCGTTTTGTTATAGTCCAAGGGGTATTCCAAAAAGCACTGGTCTATCTTTTTTAATATTTTGCCATGTTCTGTTGTATCACTCTCCAAAGTCCACATACCTAAGTTGTGGAATCTTAGTACTGTGCCTTTGGCGTGAGCTTTAATCTCTAGATGCAGAGGAGGTAATTCGATTAGCGCCTTTAATGCGACCATTGGTGCAGTTCTTAATGCTCCAGTGATGGCTATGGTAGCCATTCTCTGTATGCGACTAAGTTCTTTCCTAGCTGTAACGAGTGCTATTCTGGTCCACCAGACTAGGGCACCGTACAATATCACTTCAGTGTACAGCCAATACATAAGTCTTGGTTTAAGACCCCATGTCTTTCACAAGGCTCTGCTCCAAGTCCACAGTGTGGTCATTGCTTTTTTGATTCTTGACTGAACATGCGATTTCCATTTTAGCTTACTATCTAAGATAATACCTAATTATTTTACTTCTGGTTTTAAGCTAATTTCTTGTTCATTTAGAGTAAGAGTGCCAAGACTGTCTAGACCTATTCTTCTACTGAACATAACTACTTCTGCTATATTTGGATTAACAAATAGACCATACTTACGGCACCATATATATATATATAGTGTTTAGTTTCTGTTGTGCTAAGGCTATAATAGTGTCTGGAAATTTACCCACCTTCACTATAACTAAGTCATCCGCATAGGCTTGTGTATAAGAGTATTTGTTAAACTCTTTAATAAGAGAGTCCAATACTAGACACTATAGAAAGGAAGATAGAACCCCGCCATTGTAGGAATTCCTGTTTAACACTCTTGATTACTTTGGTTTCATTTAGCTATGTTGGT